CGATCGACCTGCCACTAGTTATCCTGATGAAAACATTCCTTGCACGGCTGGTGGTAACCAACCAGATCCAGACATTCCAGGTACTAACATCCAACAGACATTTAAAAGAATGAGGGAATCTTATGATTTGGGTAAGAAGTACTTCAGACAGCAGAAACGGAAAGGGCCTCCATGGCATAAGTCTGAATGCATGGGAAACAACCATATAGGTGGGACCTGCTGCATAGATGTAGGAAATGTAAAAAATGAGCTCAGAAATTCTTATTTTTCAGATGATATAACCTGTAGAGTTGAAAAAGGTGGTAATGATTTTTATCAGCGACCACAGCACCCAAATCAACAATGATTTATAGGAATTCTTTCTGAGAAGTACTGAATTTTCTTTCATACTTAATGTATTCTCTTCAATTCTTTATTTCCTGGGTTTAATTTCCAGTGAAAATTTGTAATTTTATACAATTTTCGACTTGAAGTAATTAATCTCAGGTTCTTTTTGAGAACTGGCATTTGCCTCTTGTTGGTCATGGATCCTTACAAACTGATAGAGGTAGCACTTGTTTATATTTCATTTTTCATTTCTTGGGCCAAGGGGAATGCACGCACACTCTCATAATCCTGGTTGTAGAAACAAATGACTGAAAATTTGCATTAATTCAACCATTGTGTTGCTATAAGAAACAGTATGTTATTGAATCTTGGCCCTTGGCTACTTTAAGGGGTCATTTTGTGTGTAAAAAAGGGAGCTAGTTTCTTGGTGATGTAATTAGTATAAAAGGTCATTCCCACGTTTGATATGTGACTTTACCATGTAAAAATTAAAGGCATCACTAGACCTTTCATTTATATAAAAATTTAGAACCAATTAAACATAAAAAGTTTCAATCTCTCCACTCCACATTTTTAACAGCCTTTCTCTTCTTCACATTTTCCTTTAAGCCAAGAAACAAAAATGTAAAGTTCCTGTAATGAAAAGGAAAACAAGAAAAAGGAAAATACATACAATTGCAATTTCTTTTCTTTCCAACGCATTTTATGTATCTCAATTTACACCTCCCTTATTCTGTCACCTCTGGCTCTAAGCCACAATCCTTCATTAATATCTCTTCAGCAAACTTCTGATATGAAGTATGCACCAAGCCTTTACTAGCGTTTTGCGCTTCCTCCAGCCATTAAAATACTTTCCTATTACCTTTTTGTAGCTAGGCCTTTGTTGCACCAAACCCCAGTACCCTGCAATGTTCGGTCTGCTAAATATATACTCATCTTCCAAATCTAGGAGCACTAAGCGAGCTAGCACTGGAATGAGCATCACATCTGCCATGGTGAACTCATCCCCTACTAAATATGTTGTTTCATTCAGCTTTGTTTCAACTTCGTCAAGCAGTTGAACCAGATGTTCTTTGCTCCTCCTCAGAACATCAGCGTTTTTCAACTTCTCTTCTGTCTTGTATGCTTCTCTGAGCTTACAGTGATAAGCACTAGCAAGGTCAGGAGATTCAGCCATCCGAGCAATCACCACCTTCCTTAAAAATTTAGAAACAAAGGTGCGATACTTGTCAGGAATGTGTGACAGTGTGAAGTATTTAGGGTTCCATTCTTGTATCTTGCGCATCCACTCTATTACTTCTTCACTGCTAAAGGCGATGCCATTATTACCAACAGAGACAACTGCAATTCTTTCAATGTACCTGCAAATATCTTGCTCACATTAGAATCTTCCCTTTTTCACTAATAAAGGTGTTTTCTGAAACAAATTTCAATCAAACATATGAAAAATGAGAAGCCCTTTCATCACAGCAATCTTAACATAGCAGATAAGTAGTACTTACTAGGAGCTTTTAAGGCTTAAAAGAAATTATTTAGAGACACAACCCTGAACTTTTTAGTTTCTTATCCTATTCATTAATCATTAGTAAGCTACAGTATATAATTTTTGTGGCTGTCAAAATGTAGATTTAAAATTACATCCAAGGGCTCGGAAGACTTAAAGATTGAGAATGAAAGTTTAGAACATACAGGATTATTTCAATTGTGTCAAAAATGGTATAAGAGCCATTTTTGAAAACAGGGAGTTTTGCACTTGAATTCATCCTGAAGAAGGAGTCGTCCATATTCTTGCCAACAATAGGATTGACATGAAATGATGTGTAATCTATGCCTTTCTCTTCCAAAGCGAGTCTGACCTTTTGGCTGTCCAATGAGAATGGATGATGATATAACTGCATGATTTATTTAGCAGTGGCTATCAGGATGTAACCAATGGCTTGAAACATAAAGACTGTTGTCACCAACTTTAACAATCTTTCACAGCACAATCAAAAATAAGAATGGACGAGGACTGCAATTGAACAGTAACAAAAAGTCTGATCAGCATCTTTCATCAAATTTACTCAAAAGCTATGGATACGATGATAAAAGCAATGGTTCAACAAGAACATAGTAATCTGCAAGATTCTTGTTGCCCTAATATTAAAAATTTTGAGACTATTGTTTCAATCTGCTCAATGTAAAAGAGTGAAATACACCAAGTGTAAAGCTACAAAGCAAGAAATAAGAACTACAAGTTAGGAATCATGCATGTTTATCAAGTTCCTTGATGCCATCAGAGTATTTCGTATGAAGGAACAAAGTCAAGCTGCTTGAACTTAACAAATGGTCAGGTTTATGCCATGACTTCTTTTACAATATAGTAAGCCACCCTCATCGGTTATGTGAACTTAAAGGACAAATTATAACTAGATCACAAATTCAAAATCTTGCATCCAATTACTGTATCATATTTATAATGCATAAACTGAGGTCTCTAAATAAACTGCCTATTTTGGCACCACCCCAACAGAAAGCCAGCTTTAGGAAACTAAAAAATACTGATATGCATGTATCTTTCTTAAAGAGACAAGCTTAGCATAATGTTTGGAGCTTATGATAAAGTTATGTAATGGTGTTCCAATACAATTTCAACTTGTTGCATCCATTCACCTAAAATCCCAGCATCCTCAACTCAAAAAAGAAAAATCATATGCTTTGCAAAGCTCAAACTTCTAACAACAAACATTAGCTCTAAAAGCCCATGTAAGAAAATAAACAAGTATACCATAATGAAAAGCAAGTCATCAACAAAATTCAGTTCATGCAGACTATTAAATCAACTTCACAAATTGTCCAAACTCAAGAGGGGACAAAAATATAGTAGTTGGAGAAGATTCCAGACTTTCCAATTCAACAAGCAAGAACTCATTCAGATTACGTATAAACACATCATCATGCAGCTAAATTAAACTGTTGTGAGTTCAAAGTTTGAAAACTCCCAAAGAAACCAGACAAACATAAGCAAGATACAGAAACTAAGAGAAACCCAACTGATCCTACGATGATTCCGGTTGAACTAAATCATATAAATCAGAAAAGCAAATCAAAGGAAGCTTAAAAGAACAAGAATATTAATGGGGTTCAAGTTTACAAACCAGAACTTTCAAACAAATAACAGAAGAGAACACAAGGCTTTACCAAGATGAGTATGGAAGCTTCAACAAGAGTCCTACAAGATTTTTGGGATTGATGTGGGTTTAATTAATTAATTAATTATATTTATAGACATGGAAAAGGCCAAAAGGTGAAAAATTGGTAGAGAGTTTAAGGAATTTCTTTAATTAAGAGGAAGAAGAGAGAGAGAGAATAATAACACAACTGAAGAAGTAAGCGAACATGCTTCCAATTGGAAAGTGCAAAGCGGAGACGGCTTAGTAGGGGTAACCACTCTCTTGTTTGGAGTTGGGCTACTTGCTAGAGTTGGAGAAGACAAGATACTCGCTCTATTGGTATTGGCCATTGCTCCATGCTGAGTATCTCTCCTCGGGAAAAGGCGCACGTGCAGGTATTTGCCAACAGCTGCGCGTAGGCTTACTGATGATGGAAATAGGGAGGGAGGGGCGGTGCGGTTCTTCAAAGTTGACAGTTGAAGAAAATTTGAGGCCGCCCAACCAAAGGGTGCGATTCATAGCGGTTAGAATGGTCGTTTAATTTTGAATTTGATTAAAATTAAATTATTTTATATTTTTATTCGAATTCTATTAATAATTAACATTTAATATTTAAATTATTACATAAATTCTTAACAACTAAAATCCAATTATTTAATTATAAGTAACATAAATATACGCTATTAAACTCAACTGAACATAAAATAAAAAATTTTAAATAAATTTATATATATATTGTTAATGAAATTAAAGTAATAAATGAAGGTTGATTTATAAAAAATAAATTAAAGTTGAAAATCATATTTAAAGTAATTGATAATTTTAATAAATATTATATTAATTATAAATAATTTATAAAGTTTAAAATAAAACTTAATATTAAAAAATAATTATTTATAATAGAATTGAAATTATGAATATAATTTTACTATCTAATCTTT